ACATCTTGGATGCCCTGGGGGTAAGCAGATAAACATCAAATTTTCATTTTTGGGTGAACTATCCCTTTAAGTTGCCATTGAACATTCTTACGGTACATACTTAAAGGAATAGTTCACCTTCAGTTGCTGGTCCACATTGTCATCCATAGTATGGAGGGGGGAAAAAACACTATGCAAGTCAATGGGGACCAGCCAATTGAAGGTGAACTATCCCTTTAATGGTAGTGATAGTTACCTTCAAATGTTTGTACGAATAAACCAGAAATGCTCTGTTCCATATGAAACATATTCTTATGTCATTAGCAACACCAAGGTCATGGGTTTGATTCCCCGGAAATGCATCAACTGAATAAACATAAACCTTGAATGCAATTTAAGTTTCTTTGGATAAAAGCATCTGCCAAATGCATAAATGTAATATAAAATATAATGTTATTGTTTGTGGTAAAACTTGTTAATGTCCTCATACTAGTACACTGTAATTTTTTTGGGAAGTTGTAAATAAAACAAAGGTTATGTTTTACAAAAATAAAGTCTACAGTATTTCTACTTTGCTATTTCTTTGTAATTATTTGTGAAATTTACTAGCAATGTCTGAGTGAAAACTGTTTCAAAGGAAATTCTACACCATTTTTTTAACAGTATAACTTACGAAAATTCTGTCATCATTTACTCACCTTCATGTATTTCCAAACCTGTATGAGTTTAAACTCTTTCAGTTGTTAGTGATTTTTATTATATGGACAAAAATACAATGTAAGTTATTGGGAAGCAAATCTGTTTGGTTACCAACATTCTTTAAAACATCTGCTTTTGTGTAAAGCAGAAAAAATTAATTTGTACAGGTTTGGAACCGCACGAGTGACAAAATTGTAATTTTTGGGTGGACTATACCTTTAAATATCCTTTTTTTCTCTGAAGTTTAAAGTTATTGTGATGTATAGCTGAGTGAAACAGCTTAATGAATAAGAAGAAATTCAGGGCGGGATTTAATTTGGTCCACTGGGAATTAGCAAGATTGCTGGATCGTTGTCGTTTGCTATTGCTGCAATCACATCGTCATCGGTTGAAGACATGTGGTTGAGAGTAAGCGGAACTTATTTTATTTAGGTCCTCAAGCACCCAACCCCCCATTTTGGCATGGGGACATACATGACATGCCCATACATGAACAGATTTATTATTTTGTACTCCTGACATAAATTAATAAATTTCTGTCACTGCAACACTTTTATCAAAATAGTGGTCAAATATCAAAGCTAGAGCCTTTAATCTTTCTAATGATGCACAGTTTGTTCATTTCAAGTAAGAGTGTGATGTTTTAACGTGCTGTGAAAGTGAAACAATAATTTGAGGCCGCCAGCGATTTTTGCGTTTTAAGAGGATAAAGATTATGAGGACTCATTAATTAATGGTGTGCACACCACAAACAATTTCTTTATGATAAACACTGCAATAATTCATAAAAACACTTTAAGTGTTAACCTCAGTAGATTTCTTGGACTGATCAGAAAGTTATGAACACAGGCTAAAACCTCAAACAGCAAGTCTAAATCCGTGGAGGATCACATTACTTTGTCCTTGAGAAAAGGGTGCAAGTGTTTAAAGCCTTAGAATGCATTGGGCTGTGCGCCTTTCCTGCTGTGCGCGCGTGTCCACATAATCCCAAATCAGAAAAAAAAAGCTTCCCAAAACTCCTGTGTCAAGGTGACCCACACTAATGTATACCGCAGTTCATATTCACTCTCACTTATTTTTGATCGTTTTTATTTTAGTGATGATTTCTTTTTTTTCTCACTCCCCATACACACACACACACACACACACACATATATATATACCCCAGACACACACAGCTCGCTGAGAGAGAAATTCCCTGGTTAAGGTGATTTAAAGTGTATAAGAGAGAGAGTAAGGATTAATCAAACCCTAAGGCATTTAACTGTGCTCACACACATACAGTGGGGTCCACGAGTGTGAGACCAGCAGTGAAAATGCCTCTATTTAGCATTTTTCTAATTAAACAGGCTACAGTTTTTCATTACAAAATATATTATCAGCAAAACAATTCCAGTTAAAATTTTAATTAAAAAATTAACATGAATTTCAGAATATCTTAGCATTTGGTTTGTCCCCCTTTTGCTTTAAAGCAGCAGAACTTGCATGAACTCCACAAAAACCTAATCAAAACAAGACATTTTACCCTTTGTAAAAAAAAAATTGTATGTCACATGAACGATGCCACATAATTAGTTATGTGATTAGCAACCTAGAAACAGTGCGGAACCTAAAAGAGTTAATTTTTACACCCAACCATTCTTTTTTCCAAAGTCCTAAAACTTTGTCCAGATTTAGATTTTGAATTCCAGATTTTCAGTGTGGCCTTTGACATGACTGGGGTCTTTAAATGTGTCTCCAAAGTTATCATGATAACATTACTGAATACTTATTATTGTGTACCTGTGCTCAAGTGGCAACACTATTATCTTAAGAAATCAGTTCTCTTCTCCCTTCTGTTCGAATTGACCCCTATGACCTATAACCCTACTGATCGGTGACCTTCAGATAACCTCAGGAGCTCACCTGTGGTGTTTGGGGAAGAGGAAGTTGGTGTTGTTGGGCTTGCGGATGAAGTACTCATCGGCCACTCTGCTGATGGCTTGGGTGTTCTCCTTTTTGGCAGGTTTCTCAAGAAAAAGAGGGGTCTCCTGTTTCGGTCGCAGCATCCCCAGGTATGGAGGCAACATGTGGATGAAGATCTAGAAAAAATGTAAATTTACAATCTTATAAGTTTCTACATTAAAATTCATATACTGCAATAAAATATGTTGATTTACTCAGAATGAGTGTTGAGAAACGGTGTATGATTTTCGAACTGTGCATGTTTGTTATTTGTCCATCCTCTATTCACAGCAAAATAATACTTATGTAAGCAAAACGATCATTTCTAGTGCACTTTATTAATAGCACTACAGTGCTTCTTAGTGTTGTGGAACAACAGTCGCCTAGAGATGGCTGAGTCCTCGCTTCATCTGCATGACTTCACAAAGGCTCTAAAAGAAAGAGACAGATTGCACTTGGCCAGCAAATAATCTTTCAGCCTTGCATCACACGTCTGTTTTCACGTGGCCTTGCTGTCATGAGTGAATGTCCTGCAAAACTGTACTGAATGTGAATAAAGAAATGCTGCTTTTTAAAATTATAATCTTTAGAAATGTTGTCCACTTGTGATTGGGTAGCTTGAAACGGGTGTTAATAGAAGGTATAAATGGGTCACTGTGGTGTGATGAAGAGGCCACGGCTTTAATAAGTTTAAATAATGTAGAGCTCAAAGCCACTGATAAAGGTTAATAGGCTGCTTTTTTGAAAGATACTGTTATTTTGCTGTACACTCTCTTTGCTAAACTGAATTGTTGTCCATTTTGAACCATTATGTATTTTTTGTCTATTTTTCATTTTTATCCTTTCTTCATAAGTTTGTAATCGGCAGATGGGGGTGTTTTGGAGTGTCCGGGAATAAAAGAAAATGCTAAATGGAAACATTTTCTGCATCTGTCATTTTAACAATGTAGCCGTCAATTTGTTGAAAGCAGCTGACTCCACATAATTTCCACAAAAGGATGTGTATCTCCTTACAAAAGCAGAGTGACTGTGTTTTGCTAATGCTAATTTATTCTCAACCCAAAAATAAAAAAAATATTCCATCCCACAATAAAGACTTACTGTAACTTCATCAAGCATAACTCCAGTTTGTAGAAAGCAAGTTCATATGCTATATGAGATCTTCTGTACTGACCTTGCGCACCCAGAGGGGCATTTGGTGTGTGTTGGGGGAGCGATGGTGAAGGTTGAGCACCACAACACTGAGGATGACAGAAAAGGTGACCAGGATCATGGTGAACATCAAGTAGTTGACAATAATGGGAACACCCAGAGATGTTTCTGGGACTTTGTTGGCAAGCAGAAGCAGGAAGACAGTTAAAGTCAGCAGTACGTTGATGGAAAGACCCATCTTCTCCCCTGAAAAGAAAAGCGAGCTCCTCTTGATCTATTCATGCATACGCTTACACCGATTCTTAATGTGTTTTTTGTGATTAGGTTAATTGTACAGTATATAATGGAATTAATAGACCAGACTGTATAAGCTGTGGAATTAGCTTGTACTGATGATCCCTTCATGATTTGTTACTCTTTTGTAAGACTGAAAGACTGTTTAACTGTGCAGGTATAAACTCTATTTATAATGGACAATAATAGGACATTCGTTAGTTCAAGGTCAATAAAACCCGAATCTAATAAAATGGCCATTTGTATTGATGTTCTGATACTGATACATCTTTAAAGTGGATTTGATTGATTTAACCATTTGTAATACATCCTGGCATCAGTTTTTACCTGCATCAGGTGGCAAGTAGAAGTTAAAAATGGCAATGATGGTGATGAGGATACAGGGCAGGATGATGTTAAACACGTAATACATGGGCTTCCTCTCGATGATCAGGTAGAAGGTGATGTCCTCACACAGGTCCTCTCGCACATTCTTCCTAGAATCCTTGTGACGAATATGCCATTCTCCACTCTCTGGGATGAGAGACCAGAAAAGCAAACTCTTTTTTGTTTTCGTGTATAGTTGGATACATGGTAGAACATTACTATGACATAATACATCATTATCATTTTGAGGGAATTTAAGCAGGGTAAGCCAGTGGGCAATTTTTTGAAATGTAACAGTTTAATGTAAAATATCGCATTAAAAGTACTGCATTCCTTTAAAAAAATGTTTAAAAAAAAATTTAAATCACAAAGGCTAAAATAATGTACAAAGGCTTTACAAAACTTTGTCTGAACATTTAAAAGGTTGCTCAGCATTGCTAGATGGTGTCTAGGGTGTTGCTAGGTTGTTCTAGGTCAGGGGTGTCCAATACTTCTCCCAGAGGGCCAATGTCATGCAGAAATTAGCTTGCCTGGAAGCTTTTAGTGAGTCTGAAGACTTTGATTAGCTGATTTAGGTGTGTTTAATTAGACCTCTGCAGGACAGTGGCCCTCCAGGAACAGGCTTGGACACCCCTGTTCTAGGTGGTTTCTTAACAGTTGCTAGAATGTTTTTTTAGTGGTTGTTAGGGTGTTTAGGATGGCTGCTAGAGTATTTTTAAGCTGTTGTTTAGGTGTCATGGGAGGTTAATAGGGCATGTCTAGGTGTTTGATGTTGTAGTCTTAGATGCATTCTTTGAATGATCTTAATGCTCATGAATGTCAAGGGGTAGTGTTAGCGTGCCATTACCACTAAAGCCTGTGTCGTAGACTATCTCTCGGATTTCATTTCCTCTTTTATCAAGGCCATGCTGCAGATCCACTTCTGAGGAATCATACGTATACGAGCGGAAAACCATGGTGCAATTTTGCCAGTCGAAAGGAAAGTATGTCACCTGCAGATTGAGAAAAAGGTACCGAAACAGAGTTTGTGCATGCTAGTGTGTGCGCTTGTCTGATGAGCATCTTTCCTCTCAGATCTTCCTTTAATCATCTCTTTTTCTACTTTTCACACATGCAAAGATCAGATGGAACATCAAACACAGCCAAACTAGAGCGAGGCCAAACAAAAGCAGCAATACAAATGAGGAGGGGAAAAAGTGCACAAAACAAGTACAAAAGAATCAGACAGAACGAAAGAGATCCTCATTTATATGAGGTAAAGTAGACTTTTTCAACAAGAAATTCTCCCCAGCAGGGTCCTACAGTAATATATTCAGTGCAGTTGTGCGGAGTATAAACACTAGTGATTTAATGCGTCATTGAATCTCTTATGATTTTCCACTTCAATACAGTATTTAAAGGTCTCATCCATAACTTACTCTTATTACTACAGTATTTGCCGAAAGGTGCTGAACATTCATCAACAAGAACAATACCGAAAAAATGAGTGCTCAAAAGAAAACGTTAAAGGGGTCATATGATGCGATTTCAATTTCTCCTTTCTCTTTGGAGTGTTACAAGCTCTTGGTGCATAAAGAAGATCTGTAAAGTTGCAAAGACTAAAGTCTCAAATCCAAAGAGATATTCTTGATAAAAGTTAAGAGTCAACCATGCCTACCTAAAACGGCTCGTTCTAACACGCCCCCACATATCTACGTCACGATGTGGGAAGATTTGCATAATGCCGCCCAAATGTTCACGCAAAGAATGTAACTTTTATTCTCGCTGTAGTATTGTTGTTGCCGCAGCCGCCATGTCGTGAAGGCGCTGTGTGTTTCGTTGTGAAAGCGAAACTACTTTGTTTG